CGTTCGTCGAAATCAATTCGTCAAAATCAACTCTCAGACACGCTTTTTTTCTACTAGTGTTTATATATGACAAATTCATCAATTGACCTACAATTGGCTTCATTAAAAAAGGCCTACAATTTTTCTAGAACATAACATTCAAATCTTATGAAAATATTTTGTCTATGGTTTTTTTATGGGCACGCGAAGTCGGGTAGTCAAAAAAGGTGCAATTTATTGGTCAATTTACGCAATTTAGTTCACAGAAACCTATATTGCTGTCAATAGATAAAAGATAGAGCCCAAAAAGTTTGGTATATAGCCGAATTTTCAGAAAAATCTGTTCAGTCTAATTCTCTCTAATAGTAGTGCACCCCGCCGAGCCGAGTTGACGACTATTTTACGGTTTCCAATCTTTTGCAGAAGCTCAACACTCTAATCCCCACAAGATCTCATCGTTAGCTACATTTTGCGCCCGCACATTTTATCGTCAGCTACATTTTCTGATCGATAGGTTCTGATAAGCGGTTCTCGAGATTTCGAGGAATTTTGGCAAAGCTTTTGGTGCACTACTATTAGAGAGAATACGGTATGATTCTAGGTTTTATCCAATCCAATCTTTTTGGTAGACTTAGCGTTAAACCAAGCTTACTATTAGATAATTAGATAATTACTGCTCAGTTTTGAGATAATTAGAATGGATGGCTAATGCCGTATTCCTTGCATCCCGCCAAGCCGAGTTGGCGACTATTTTACGGTTTCCAAGTTTTCTCAGAAAATGCATTAGCCTTTAGAGTGACACTAGTTAGAGACTAGACGAACAAATTGATAGTATCTTTTAATACCTGATAAATTATTGATATCATCAGCTACATTTTCCGACCGCACATCGATAGGTTCTGATAAGCGGTTCTCGAGATTTCGAGCAATTTAGGCGACGCTCAGGGTGCACTACTATTAGAGAGAATTAGACTGAACAGATTTTTCTGAAAATTCGGCTATATACCAAACTTTTTGCGCTTTATCTTTCATCTATTGACAGCAATATAGGTTTTTTATCAGTGAACCTAATATAAGCTAGGTTCTAGGTTTTATCCGATCCAATCTATTTGATAGATAGACCAAGCTTACTATTAAGTTGGAAAGAAAGTTCTCGAAAAAAGTTTGACTTGAATTTCTTAAAAACGAATCCACCAATTCGAGAGCATTTTCTTCAATTATTTACAAGTCGTCTCCAATTATCGACTCCAAGAAATTACTCGTAAAAAGATGAGTGCAGTTTTCTCTTAAAATTTTAGAGATTTTTGAAACATTATTATTTTCGAGCCAAAAATTCAGCTCAGTTTTTGGACGAGAAAAGCGATTTCTTATGAGGTAAAGCTAGCATAAATAAGCAATACGCTCTATAATCTATAAAAAACCCATAATAATGGGAAAAAGAACCAATCTTTCTAGCCGCTGGGATCGAACCCTTCACCCCCCAACTAGGAGACAAGACTCCTAGCCAACCGGATAGGAGTCTTGTCTCCTAGTCTCCTAGTTAAGGGTTCGATCCCAGCGGCTAGAAAGATTGGTTCTTTTTCCCATTATTATGGGTTTTTTTCCTAACAACATTTAGGCAATAGGGGTAATTAGGGGTAAAAATCTCCTCCGTTGTGTTGTAATTCATTATTTGTGTCGAATAAATATGCAATCTCTATTTTTGGCCAACAAATTTCTTTACAAAGAAGCTGTATTTCAAAAAATCATTTTTTAGTGTCATCTTCTTGACACTAAGTGTTTGCTAAAATAGATTATTCTAAAAAGTTAAAGCATTAGATTTGCCTTAATATATATATATAAAAAAAAGAAAAAAAAAAAAAAAAAAAAAAAAAAAAAAAAAAAAAAAAGAAAAAAAAAAAAAAAAAAAAAAAAAAAAAAAAAAAAAATAGATACTTTATTCAGAAACTGAGATAAAGTGCGCTAGATTTAAGATTTAAATCACATGAATTCATTACGCATAACACGAAAAGGGCCGATAAAAAGCAACACGATATATTTAATATAATATATGGGTAGCACATATAACGTCAAGGATCCACTAGAGCTTCGAGACTGCTAGACAGCTAGCTAGACAGCTAGCTAGACATCATCTACAGATAATTTAAAGGTTTCGAGACTATTGGACTCTCTCAGAATTTGGAATCGACTCTGGGGAGTCGATTCCAAATTTTGGCAGTTCTTATTGGAAAAGAGTTATACACAAACTTATTGGATGTGACTGGAATTTCTAAAACTAAGAATTCAATGGTTTAATATAATATATGGGTAGCACAGATAACGTCAAAGATCCACTAGAGCTTCAAGATCAACATCATCTACAGATAATTTAAAGATTTCGAGACTATTGGACTCTCTCTTAATCAAAAATTTCCCTATTTTAAGTGCTTGATTTTAGGTTTGTGAATGGGACTGTGAATGGGACATTGCCTATTCATTAACCCATTGAAAACCTGTCTAAAGACTCGTCACTTAAAAAGTGACCAACTCACTTCAGCTGAAGAAATCTCTTATTTCTTGCCTTGTCAGCTCCGAGTCAAACTGATATTTTAGTTACTATTGTTATTATTGAATGATTTGTCTATTTTTATGCAAATGTGTCCTCCCCTGTGCTTATCCGTTTTGTTGCCGAGAAGGGGCGGTCCTTGGGATTGCCCTTAACCCAAATTGCCTAGAAGAACAAGTGAGACTCTCATTTGGAGTCCCCCTTTCCCCTTACACTTATTTGTAATCTATTCGTCTTATCGTACTACTGTAAATAAAGATACATATCTTCCGGGTCTATGCAACTGCAGTACAGGTCGGTCAGTATAGCTTTCACAGGGACTCCCCTCTAATACGTTGGAGGAGTTGAGTTGGGTTGTCGGGGTGTTAGAGAATATCAAAGATCAGAGATATCAAAAGGGATCCACTCTCTTTAACTTAACCCAAATTCTAGCCCACATCCGTTTATACCTAGGAACGATTAGCCTGAAGCTCTGATTTTTTTGTCAAAAGCTTTTTGAAATATCGTCAAGTTTATCAAAAAGAACTGAGAAGAATTTATGGGTTGTTTTTTTGAGATATATCGTTTGTTTTTTGAGATATATGGGGTTGTTTTTGCCCGTGCAAACTTGCAAACAAACTGCAAAAACCCGTGCAAACTTTTTCCGAGAACTTTCTTTCCAACTGATCTGCCAATATGATAACAATATGGATCTGCCAATCAGTATAAACTTGTAGAATCGTATTATTTCTTTCCAATCTAATATTTAGTATCAACATTTATAAAGAAACAAAGAAAAACTAAAAGGATATAAAAGTTATTGAAGTTTTAAGGCTAAAATTTTAGCTAGAATTATTCTAGCTATTTCTAGAATGATTCTAGCTATTTCTAGAATGATTCTAGCTATTTCTAGAATGATTCTAGCGATTTAAACCACAAATTTTATATTTATAGTTTCTTTTAAGAATTTGTATTGTTTTAAATGAAAAGGTAAACGATTTAAAAAATGATTTGTCAAGCTGATAATGATTATCAATGATTTAAAAGCTCATCATTTTTATAATAGACTTGAATTTGGTCAATAATTTGAAAAAAAAGGAAGAAGAAAACATTTCGAAATTTAAGGATTTGTCTTTTAAAGAAATCAGAGAAGAAATAGAAATTAAAGCAATGTTTGAAAAGTTTAATGGATAAAGTGTAGCTCAAATGATAGCTATACTTTATTCATTAAAGTCTAGCTCAAATGATGAGCTATACTTTATTCATTAAAGTGTAGTTCAAATGATAGCTATACCGTATTTACTCTATTAGTGGGGTCCTCTCTAATAGTGGGGTCGTCTGGAGGGGGGTTGAAAAAATAGTGGGGTCCTCTCTAATATTGGTAACGAAAGTGATACATCAATTGTTGATCTCTTGGATTAGTTCTTTTACTGTTTGTTAATGTTTTGTTACGGTTAAAGCTAAATAAAATATGAAGCCAAACTTGTTTTTTCAAGAATTTCGGAGAAAAATTGATATCTTTTCAACTTAAAACTTTGGTTTTATGTTCTTTTAAATTTCTCTAATAGTGGGGTCCTCTCTAATAGTGGGGTCGTCTGGAAGGGGATTGAAAAAATAGTGGGGGACCCCACTAATAGAGTAAATACGGTACTTCATTAAAGTATAGCTCAAATGATGAGCTATCCTTTATTCATTAAAGTATAGCTCATCAACAAACAATCGACATCAACAATATCATCAACAAAAATTCAATGACGTAAACGAAAAATATCAATAGATTTAAATGTATTTGTCTTGAGAAAGTTGGAATCGTTTTGAAACAAAAGAAAGCTTTAAAAGAAATCATCAATGGCTTCATTTGAGTTAAAAACTTTTAAAAGAGAGAAATTTGTGTCACTGTTTCTGAGGTTTTACAACAGAATTCAGCATTGAACTTTTTAAAAAAATGTTGCTAGGAAATTGATAGGTTTTTTTTGGTTTTGAAAAAGGTTAGATCAGTTGAAATAAAACTGAATCAGCTTTAAGAAATCACTGATAACTTCATCTTTAAATCCAACACTTTTGAGTGAGGATTTGTGTAAAGAGTTTTGGGAATGTCAAGAGTTTCGAAAATTCTTCAAGAAATTCTGAAAAGTTTACTGAGATCTTTGTGAAATCAGTTCTGGCATTAAAATTTGACGAAATTTTCAGGGAGTAATCTTAAGGAAAATGCCGGTAAAGTTAATTTAAAGTTAAATAAAGTAAAGAAAAGAAAATTTGTGTAGAAAAGAGTTTTTGAATAGGTTTATGAGAGAATTTTGTTTCGAAGAGAGTAAAAAAAGAAAGTCAATAGAACAATAAAACAATAAACATATTAAAAAGATATTCAATAGATAATAAAAAGAAAAATATGGATAAATAGAGAATATAAAGAATAGAAAGAAAGAAAAGAATAAAAATTATTGAATGGAAAAGTAGAAAACATGTAAATTCTCATCTTCTCTCATTCTTTACTAACCTGTGGTGATGGGGTTCGATGTGCAGGAGCTGGTTGGGAAATATCCGCCACCGCATCTTTCGCCACTGCTTGTAGCTGTTCACTGGCTGCTTTTGCCTAAAAATTTTGATACCGTATTTTATACATATTCATTTTTCTATCTTTTTAAGACAATTTATGTTCTTTTCAAAGTAAATTCGAGTGTAAAAACTAGTTTTTCATGAAATTCGATAGAAAAGCTTTAGAAAGAAATCGGCTGAACAGAACCGAACTTAAATAGACTTAAGTTTTTTAGCCAAACACTTTATTCATCTACATTACCGGACTCTCTCTAATAGTAGTGCACCATGAGCGTCGCCTAAATTGCTCGAAATCTCGAGAACCGCTTATCAGGACCTATCGATGTGCGGGCGGAAAATGTAGCTAACGATGAGATCTTGTGGGGGATTAGAGTGTTGAGCTTCTGCTAAAGCTTGGAAACCGTAAAATCGTCGCCAACTCGGCTCCATCGGAAAATGGGTCCGAAAATGTAGCTGATGATATCAATAATTTATCAGGTATTAAAAGATACTATCAATTTGTTCGTCTAGTCTCTAACTAGTATCACTCTAAAGGCTAATGCGTTTTCTAAAGTTTGTCAACTTTCAATGACTAGTGATCTTTACATCTAGCTTTATCTAGTTTATCGTATTCTCTCTAATAGTAGTGCACCCTGAGAGTTGCCTAAATGGCTCGAAATCTCGAGAACCGCTTATCAGAACCTATCGATGTGGGGTCGGAAAATGTAGCTGACGATGAGATCTTTTGGGGGATTTGAGTGTTGAGCTTCTGAGAAAACTTGGAAACCACAAAATAGTCGCCAATTTGGCTTGGCGGGATGCAAGGAATACGGCATTAGCTATCCATTCTAATTATCTCAAAACTGAGCTTCAACTCTTTATTATATAAATTTGATTAGGCACTACTATTAGAGAAAGTACGGTACATGTTGTTTGAATTTAGATATCAATTAGCAGAATTTGAGTTGATAAGCTAGATTAGCTAAAAATTTAGTTCGAAAATTCACAACTCTTGAACTCTTGAATCTCTTGAGCTACATTTCAACTTTCTATTAAAAGAACTTTAAAAAATATTCTAATTTATGATTGTTTTAAAGTTAAAACTAGCAATCTACAAAGGTAAATGAGTTATTTTAGAAAACATTTTAAAAAAACTGGATCTAAACTACGCAAGACAGGAGTACGAGTTCGGATGACATGTTCGGATGTTCAGAGACAGGAGTACGAGCTATGATAAGTCGAATTTCTGGTTCTTAAGATATAATATTACCATAATTAGATTCAGCTTCAACGAAAAATGAATGAATTTTTTGACTCTTACTCCAACCTTTCCAATCGCACTGCTCGCCAATCCACCGAGTGCTCCGAGCTTTCCAAATCCGAATCCTCCACTTGATTGTGTCTTTCCTCCATCACTTTTTCTTCCAAACATTCCCTGCCCGGATCCCACAAAGGAGGATCCGGTCAGAAGACCCGCCGATGATTGGTCTGAAAATTACAGATTAAGTAGATGAGAAATCTATCAGTCACTTAAACAAAAAAGAAATTTGCATTTACTGCATTTACTGATCAGCATTTAACAAGTTAAGTACAAATTTGAAAAGGATTTGGTTTAAATTTTGAATAAAACTAGTTTAAGTCAATGTTTGCTAGCAAGTAAAGACGAATTTTTCACTAGTAAGCATTAGCTCTAGCATTAGCTCTAGCATTAGCTCTAGCATTAGCTCTAGCATTAGCTCTAGCATTAGCTCTAGCATTAGCTCTAGCATTAGCTCTAGCATTAGCTCTAGCATTAGCTCTAGCATTAGCTCTAGCATTAGCTCTAGCATTAGCTCTAGCATTAGCATTAGCTTTGCCAAGCAGCTGTTTTTTAGAATTATCGATTAATAATTTCAATTAAAATTTATCTATACTTTATAAAATTGAAAACAAAAGTCAAAAAACAACAGTTTTCAAAATGGCAACAAAATTCCCATCTCTGGAATAGAAATGAAATGAAAAAGAAGAAATTACTGAAAAATGGAGCCCCGTTCAGAGAGAGAAAAAAAGAAAATAATTGGGGGAACAAGGGAAGACTTTCAAATATTTTTCCTGAAACAGAAATGAATTAGAAAAACTTATAATTAACTTTATAATGTTTAAAAGTTTTTCAAAAGAGAGCAAAAGCTTTTTTATTTAGTTGAAAAGTGTATTCAGCTTTCAAAATCAAAGCATAAAAGCTAAAAAGTGAGGAAAATGGTTTTCAAAGCTTTTATTAAGATTGTTTGTGCAAAAGTTGTTAAGATTTAGTTTTAAAAGCTTTAAATATTGGCTTAGGCTAGGCTTAGGCTATCTTAGTAGCAATTTCAATTTAACACATTGGCGACAATTGCATTTTGAGCGTACAATCGCATAATCGTTAACTATTTTACTGATAATTTTCTGTAAATTATTGATAAAAGATAAAGATAAATTTCTATATTGGACCCATATTGGACCATATTGGAACCATATTGGAACCATATCGGAACCATATTGGAACCATATTGGACCATATTGGAACCGTATCCGAAACATATCGGAACCATATTGGAACCACATTGGAACCGTATCCGAACCATATTGGAGCCATATTGGAACCATATTGGAACCATATTGGAACCATATTGGAACCGTATTGGAACCGTATCCGAACCATATCGGAACCATATTGGAACCACATTGGAACCGTATCCGAACCATATTGGAACCATATTGGAACCATATTGGAACCATATTGGAACCGTATCAGAACCAAATTGAAACCATATCGGAACCTATATTCATTCGATAGCCCTGAATCTCCTTTTAAAAACCAAGTTCAAAGTTATCGAGAACTTTCTGCAAAATGAATAAGAAAGGTTTGCAAAAACTTGAGTTGATACTAAAAATCATTCGGTACTTTTGCGTTATACTTCCATTAAAAGAACCCATATGTCATTTGCATTATATTCCTATAAAATTTGCTTGTATCATTTGCGCTATATCCCAAAAAGTTTAAGTTTTAGAAACAAACATAAAAACACGTAAAATGATAATGTATTTGAATGGATTTTCAATGAAATTGTGCTTCGATGCGCTTTAAAAAGTACAAAATTAAATCCTGACTTCTAAAAGTCATTAGAAAAATACTAAAGAGAAATTGACAAAGAAATTGATAAAGAAATTGAACAAAGAAGTAAATAAACAAAAAAAAATCTCTAAATTGTGCATCTGTATTCTAATGGGAGAAGAAAAAGGGAGAGTAGTGGCTGTTGGTTGAATGTGAAAAGCAAAAGGAGAGGTGAAGAAGGGAAAAGGGGAAAGGAAGAGAATCGAAACATTGAAGACTGAGAAAAAGAGTGTAGAAGGGGTAGAAGAGGGGAAAGAAAGGGGACAGGGGAGAAGCTGGGGATCGATGGGACTCTGAGGGTCCCCCTGGGCCCTTCTTCTCATCCCTGCCCCACCTCAGCTTCTTTCTCTTGCATTCCCTAGTCTCCACGTGCCCCGATGGCCAACTGAAACCAATAAGTGCCCATCGGCTCGATTGAGGGTGAAAGAGCTCTCTTTGCCTATTTATCCCCATAGGGCTTTTCTCTTTTTCTCTTCTTTTTCTTCTACTAGCTACTAGGTACTCAATCTCTTCAACAACTCATTTTTTGGAAGGCTTGAGAAAAAAGACAAACTTGAGATTTTTTAAAGGCAATAAGAAAGCCATTCTTTATCTCAACTAGTGAGCTTAGGAATGGCCTGAAGAAGAACGAGTTGTAGGATTGAATTATTCTGATCTTGAAAGTGTTGTAAGATTGATTCATTTACAAAAAATCAGCTCTAGACAAAAGAAAACTAGTTTAGCTAATGAATTTGATTGCTTAACCCTTATGATTTATATTTGAAATTGTACTTGAAACTTATTTGTACAGGTTAGATTTGAAAAAAAGTTTAGTTAAGCTCAGAAATTTCTACTTTCTATAGAAACTCTACAGAAATACGGAGACTTTGTAGATCGATATTCCGGTATTTTTCCAACAAAATCTTCAGCTTTTACAGCAAGCTTGTTTAAAGTTTTGAGTAAAACAACGAAAAACAAAGCTAAATTAGATTTGGATAAAGCTAAAAAATGAATATTTAAGTTTTCTGCATAATGGCAAAAAAAGTAGCAGAGAAAAGCGTGAAAAATGGCAAAAAATGAGAGAATTATGATAGTACATCTAATTCTAGCAATCAACGTCTTTTCCTTATCTCATAATCGCTTTTCCAGAGCTATCAAACGTTACATTTTTTTAATTTCTTATTAAAAATAGATAATGGACTTTCGTGACTTTGAAATTTTGGCAGAAAATTGGTTTTTGACAAATCGAGCGCAAGAAAAGGTGAGCGAGAACGGAAGTGTGAAATTTCAGAACCAAAAACTTTCGAAAAAAATGGCAAATCAAATTTGAAACAATTTAAAACATCTATTTTATTGTTCTTTTTTTTGAATTTTTTTTTAGTAAACGCGTGAGAAAATGAGACGAAAAATAGAATAAATGATACCAAAAATGGAAGAAAAAGAAAAAGAAAGAGCAAGAGCAAGAGCAAGAGAAAGAGAAAGAGAAAGAAAAAGAGGAGAAGAAAGAAAATGAGAAATCTGATCACCACCCTTCTACGAATCTTAAAAAAAAGAATAAAAGAAATGTAATGTACAAAAAAACGAGACTTTTAGAAAGAAATTTAGGATTTAAAGATATTACTTTAAATATTTTATTACTTATAAAACATTTTATAAATTATAATTACAAATATAAATATAGTGGTTTTAGGCTTTTGATTGAATAGCTTTAAGTTTAATAGTAAGTTGAGTAGCTTTAAGTTGAAAAGCTTCAAGTTGAAAAGCTTCAAGTTGAATAGCTTTAAGTTCAATGGCTTTAAGTTCAATAGCTTTAAGTTGAATGGCTTTAAGTTTAATAGAAAGTTGAATAGCTTAAAGTTGAAAAGCTTCAAGTTGAAAAGCTTCAAGTTGAATGGCTTTAATTTTAATAGTAAGTTGAAAAGCTTCAAGTTGATTAGCTTTAAGTTGATTAGCTTTAAGTTTAATGGCTTTAAGTTTAATAGTAAGTTGAATAGCTTAAAGTTGAATAGCTTAAAGTTGAATAGCCTGAAGTTGAATAGCTTTAAGTTTAATAGTAAGTTGAGTAGCTTAAAGTTTAATAGATTTCAGTTGATTAGTTTTAATTAAATAGTTACAATGAAAATCTAAAGTTTTAGTGAATTCGCAGATGATTTTCACTGAAAAATGACATTTCCCTATTTTGAGGTGATTTCATTAGAGTATACAAACCCCCGTTTTTGCTCTTTTTCCAGAAATTTTTCACTCCCAAATTTGCTCGCCTTCAAAATCGGGTTACCTATGAGAAAAGGGTCGAAGTCGTAAGAAAAAAAAAATCACAAATTTTCACAGCCGGGCATCGATTGAAGAAAGGGATTTTTTTAGAGTAAAAAAAGAAAAGAAAAAGAAAGAAGGAAAAGAAAGAGATTGTTTTGTTATGAGAACCAACCTTGAATTTCTTGAATTGGATGAATTTCATGGCTTTCCTGCGTTGGAGTCGGCGTTTGCACGTCGGCATTGTCTTCGCCTTCTGGAAATGAAAAAAAATGAGTTTCACATTGATAAACTTAATAAAATGAATAGTTTAAATGAATTCCCGACGGCGAAAAACTTTGGGTACAACTTTAGAACTCAATATCCTTTTTGTATCATTTATAAAGGTTTTCGGATGAATTTTTTCCTTAAATTTAGCTTTATTTTCTATAGTTCTATATTATTTTCTATATTTCTTTGCTTTTTTTTACCATTTTTAGTTTTCTTTTTTAGAATTTAAGATTTAATTTGATCTTTTTGACTAATTCATTTCATTTAAAATGATTCAAATTTTAGATTTCACCTGTTACATCGTCTTCCGCCAATTCGGCCTCTTCATCAGCCATTGATTCCTGGAAGTATAAATATTGGGTTGGGGAGAATGAGTCGGCGCCGGAAAGGAAAAAAATTTTAAAAAATTTTTTTTTTTTTTTAAAAAAAAATTTTTTTTTTTTTTAAAAAATTATTTAAAATAATTCTAAAAAAAATTAAAAAAAAAAAAAAAAAAAAAACCCCCCCCCCCCCAAAAAAAAAAAATATAACAAAAAAAAAAAAAAAAAAAAATAAAAAAAAAAAAAATTAAATTTTTTTTTTCCAACAAAAAAAATAAAATATAAAATTATTTTTTTTTTTTTTTTTTAAAAAAAAAAAAAAAAAAAAAAAATTTAAAAAAAAAATTTTTGATTTTTTTTCTTTTTTTCTTTTTTTTTTTTTTGGTATTTTTAAAAAAAAAAAAAAAAAAAAAGAAAAAAAAAAAAAAAATAATAAAAATATTAAAAAAAGGAAGAAATAAAAAAATTAAATAAAGAAAAAAGAATATAAAGGGGGGGGAGATTTTTAAGAAGCGAATAGAGGGGGGGGGCCCCCCCCCCCCCCCCCCCCCCCCTAATAAGTCTAATATTTAATTGAGAAAGAATTATTTTAATGAAATAAAGGATCTTTCGGTGTACTCTTTGGAATGAAACAATGGTGTACTCTTTGGAAAAGTACTTTCTGGTGTACTCTTTGGAAAAGTACTTTCTAGTGCACTTAAATTTTCAATTTTCTTCCAGAAACGATCAGTGTTACGAGGAAAATGAAGAAAAATGGAAGAAAAATGCAAAAGAAATGATGTTTTTCCATTTGAGCACAAAGTCATGCTCAGAATAATGCTTTTATCAAAAGCAGTTATGGGAAAAGGAAAAGACAGTGCACCAAACCAATTTCTGTCTTTCGATTTCTGAGCAATTTTTTGCAGCAATTCAACTCACTTTCATGAACGAGAGCTGCTCCTCATACCAATTATGCACGTGTGGCGAACGGATGATCTCGGAAACCGATTTAATGCTGAATGCAGAGGATTGTCGTGACATGGCAGAAGAACGACGATCCGATTGCGATTCCCGAGAGTCATATTCAGCTGAAAGAAGATATTTTGACTAATTCAACAATACTAGAAAAGCTATAGAGCACTAAAAGTGATGCTATAGTTTTAAAGGGTTTTTGTGTGAAAATGGAAAATTGAGTATCTAGATAGATCAAGAAGTGGCATTCGATGGAAATTCGTGAAATCGACTACGCTACTTTTTCTTCTTCGGCGAGCGATTGCTAAAGGAATTGATAATACGGCTGAAAAGATTGTATAAAGATAAAGCTATTGATTTAAAGAATTTGCTCTAAACTTGAAGATAAAGTTATTCATTTAAAGAGTCTTCTTTAAACTTTAAGATAAAGCTATTGATTTAAAGAATCTTCTCTAAACTTTAGCACATACGATCCACAGTTTTCAGTTAATTAATGAAGAATTCCGATGGCAAGAATGTCATTTGAAAGGTGAAAGTTACTTAAAGTTATTAAGCTTTAAATTTTCCAAGTTCTAAACTTTCTAGAACACTCAAAAAGTCTAACTATGACTCAATATCTGGTCTAAAAGTAAGTCTAGATCTAAAGCTAGAATCTAAAATAGTTGACAAGTTCTATCTTCCTAAAATCAAGCTGATCTAAGCAATCTTAAAAGCAGCTCTCTCAAATCTGATCCAAAATCTCTAAAATCTAAAATCGAAAGTCTAAAATCTGAGCTAGTCACAAGTCCTGGACTTAAAAATTAAAATTAAAAACACTAACAGACTTAAAAAGCTAGCTACTTCTAATACTTACTCAAAGACTAAAAATTAGAATCCTTATCAGATCTTAGCTAACTGTCGATCATAGATCAAAAGACTTATGAAATCTTCTAATCACCAACTTGCTTGTTCTTCTCGTTCTCTCTCCATCGACATTTGTTCCTCATGCAATTGAGCTCTTCGTTCAGCTAACTGTCGATCATAGTCGATCTCTTCATGTTCTTCATCCGATGGTCCTTCAGTTCCTTCAGATGCACCCTCCGTTTCCCCACTTCTATCCGAAAACGATCTTTCGAATCTCGCTGAATCGGGTGTCTCGACGAAAAGCGGCGTTTCTTCAGCGTTTCTTTCTGTTTCTTTGGCGACCCCCTCATTAGTGAGCGGCTCTTTTATGGTGGGTGGGGCAAACGTGAGCCCTAATGAGTTCCCCTCGTCGATTGCCTCTTGACTTTCGATCCGTCCGGTGATGAGATGCGTGCCTGAAGTAGTAATGGCTTTGATGTCGGCTATGGATTCACTCTCGGTAATTGGCTGTTCCAATGGATAGCTTTCAACCATTGCAGCTCTTCTAATATGCTCAAGTTCAGCTTCGCTTAGCTCAGGTTCTCTATATTGTTGAACCTCTTCAGCTTTAGCTATTCTCTGGATATAATCGAGTTCCTCTTGTGTCAGTTCTGATTCTTTGTATTGTTGAATTGGCACTTCTTCAGCCATGGCAGCTATTCTTTGAATGTGATCGAGCTCCTCTTGAGTAAGTTCTGGGCTTTTTACTTGTTTTTGTTGGAAACTTGGAATCTCTTCAGCCATTGCGGTGATTCTTCTGATGTGCTCAAGCTCTTCCTCGGTTAGTTCTTGTTCTCGTGGTTTAGCTAGCTCATCGATAGCAGTTATCTTCTGGATATGATCAAGCTCCTCTTGTTTCACCTCAGCTTTGTACCGAGGAAGCGATACTTCTCCAGCCATTGCAGCTATTCTTTGAATGTGATCAATCTCCTCTTGAGTTAGCTCGGGTTCTTTGTACTGTTGTGGTACTTCTCCAGCCATTGCAGCTATTCTTTGAATGTGATCAATCTCCTCTTGAGTTAGCTCGGGTTCTTTGTACTGTTGTGGTACTTCTCCAGCCATTGCAGCTATTCTTTGAATGTGATCAATCTCTTCTTGAGTCAATTCTGGTTCTGCACGCTTTGAAACTTGATACTGTTGAGTCGGGAAATCTTCAGCCATTTCACTAATTCTTCTAATATGGTCAAGTTCCTCTTGGGTTAGCTCTGGTTCCCTGTACTGCTGACTCTGTTCTCCGTACGGCACCTCTTCAGCCATAGCAGTGATTCTTTGAATATGTTCCAGTTCCTTTTGAGTCAGTTCCAGCTGTTTTGGTTCTTGGAAATGTTGAATTGAAACCTCTTCAGCCATTTCAGTAATCCTTCTGATGTGCTCAAGTTCGGCTTCGCTTAGCTCCGGTGCTTTCAGAATTGGAATCGGAGTCTCTTCAGCCATGGCAGCAATTCTTTGAATGTGCTCAAGTTCTTCTCTTGTCAATTCTGGCTCTTTCACCGTCGATTTCAAGTCAACACTTTCAGAAACTCGATCCAATTCCGATTCAGTCTTCGCAACAACTTTTGGTTGCTCAAAGAAACCCTTGAACAGCGATGTTCCCTGTTTAGTTTGTTTCACTGTTGAATCAAAGAATGACATCATTCCAAAGCCGGAAGTTTTCCTCGGTTGTACCACTGGTTCATTCATCTCCATAGCCGCCATTTCGTTGATTTTTCTGATGTGCTCTAATTCTTGCGCGCTCAATTCTTGTCCTAATTCTTCTTGTGCTTTCAAGCTTGGCTTTTCATATTCACCAACCATTGTGGTGATTTTCTGGATTTGCTCAAGTTCATCTGGTTCCATTTTATTTGTTAGAGCCAATCCTTGCAGATTAAGCGGTGAAAAGGCTTCTCCAGCCGATGCAGCCATTTCAGTCACTTTTCGGATATGTTCCAGCTCTTGTTCAGTCAACTCCGAGAAAGTCTCTCTTTGTGGAGTCTCGGTGAGACTTCTTGGAGACGAGGCAACCGGAGATGGGCTCGTTTTCTGGATTTGTGGAACAGCGATTGCAATCATTGGCTTGCTTGGTTCTGGAGTTTTTCCAGTAATCCCCGAGAAGAACGATTTAATACCAATCAATGTTGAGCTTTGTTTTCTCAGTGGTTCCTCTTTCATCTCCGCGATTTCCTTGACCGCCGATGTGCCGGTGCTGATGTCCAATTGTAATTGTTGTCTTGCGGAGTCATCGGATTGTCGTGACGCGGTTTCGGCCCTTTTGATCGCCTCTTCGATGGATTTGATCGAAGTTGTGTAATCCTCATCGGAAAACGATGATTGGGCGCGTCCGGTGGAGGCGGGTTCGGTGAGACCAGATTGAGCGGAGTCGGTTCGACCAGTCATTTGGCGACGAGGCACAGAGATCATCTGAAAACTCGTGGAGATCAAAGATTCAATAACTGATTTAATAGCTGATCTGGTTATCGGACATTTGATATGCCCCGCCCCTTTGCCATTGGCAATCTAACTTTAAGCTCAAATTTCTTGGTGTTGGTTTGTTCAATTTGGATTTTCTTGGTATCATTAGATGCGCCAAGTCTTTCCCTATTGATTGATTACAAAAACTATTGAAATTGAACAGCCCAACACTAAGATATTTGAGCTTAAAGTTAGATTGCCAATGGCGAAGGGGCGGGGCCGACCTTTTATACGCGCCCCGTCCATTTTGCGATTGCCTAACTTTAAGCTAAAATATCTTGATGTTGGGCTATCCAATTTAAATAGTTTTTGTACCAATCGACAGAGAAAGTCTTGGCCCGTCTAATGATACCAAGAACATTCAAATTGAACAGCTTAACACCAAGAGATTAGAGCTTAAAGTTGGATTGCCAATCGGGCGCGTATCAAATTTCCCACAAGCATTTTAAATTGCTTAAATTTCAGTAATTCGGTAGAACTTTTGAATAAGTTTCAATCAAAGGCGACTCTGAAATCTGGCCGAACTTACATATGGCGTTTGCCTTTGTTCGACCTTCTCGAGCACACTCTGGATATGAACTCTTTCCGCGTCGGTGAGATCGCTCATTTCGGGGATCACCGAGTGTCCGATAGCTGATGAGCTTCTGAAATCGTTTTTTTTGAATAAAAATCAAAAAATCTGTCTAATTGTAAGCTAGAATTTGAAAGAAGTCAGCAAATTGTACCTCCTCGAAGTGGTCGGTGATCCTCTTTGTGCAGCGGCCATCACTTTCATGATGTGCTCTTTTTCTTCTAATGAAAGGCCAACAAGTGCGTGATCGGGAAGCTGAAATATTGGAGATTTATTGTTGATTTATTGTTTATTTCCCAAAATGCATTAAATACTATTCTAACAACATCATTTTGTGGTCAAGAATTGAGTGACATCAAATAACCAACTTAGAAACTGTCAATAGTGTTTATGATCGAGAAAAAGAAGGATAAACCCTTGAATTAAAGTTCAAAACAGGTATTTTATGTTTGAAATTTCAAATTTCTGAGTTTTAAATGGATTTCTGGAGCTCTCGAATCAAATGGAAACGATTCAGCAAAATTCTTATATCAGCTATAGTACTGGACAATGAAATATGATATTTGAAAAACGATCGTCACGTTCGCACGTCTGTAACTTTCTTGTCTTTACCGTATTTCTAAATTTTAATATTACCATTGTGTAGCCCTTGAAAAGAGCTTTCAGAAAATGTATAACACTAATAGTTTAAACTCAAAGACAAGAAAGTTACAGATGTGAGAACGTGACGATCGTTTTTCAAATATCATATTTCATTATCCAGTACTGTAGGTGCCAAAAGAAAGGCCAGAAAATGTAACTGAAACTGTTCAGAAACTGCTTTTAACGCAAAGTACAGTACTGACAATGAAATATGGATATTTGAAAAACGATCATCACGTTCGCACGTCTGTAACTCCCTTGTCTTTGCGTTTAAACTATTAGTGTTATACATTTTCTGAAAGCTCTTTTCAAGGGCTACACAATGGTAATATTAATATTTAGAAATACCGTATTTTTTGACGCATTTCAGCGCGCGCAAAAGTGACGATCGTTTTTCAAATATGATATTTCATTGTCCAGTACTGTATATTCTTATCTCAATCTTTCTTCAATTTTCAATCAATCAAAAGCTTCAGAAAACTTATTAATAAAAGAAAATCTCCATTTCGAAGATTCACTTAAAGATTTTATACAATTTTACCCATTTCCCACCTGTAGTGGTGATGTGGTGGATGCTCTGGAGTCAGCGCCGGACGATCGCCGCAAAAGTCCCATGATGTCATCGTTTCTCGAAGCAGCCGATCGATCGATAGAAGTCTGGAACCATCAATTAATGAACTATTTCAATTATCAATGAATTGATTGTGAGATTCGATTACCTTTCTACTTTGTCTCCCATCAGTTTTAGATAAAATCGATAAAGCAGAGCGCGGTCTCTCCAAGATGTGACTGGGTTTGCGAGGGCTGAGGAATGAGAAGAGACCGAATGTTGGAACCTGGAAGAAGTTTTGAAATCTTGGATCTAGGCCTAGCTTCAGTGGCTACATTGAGATCGAATTTTAAAGTCAAAATTTCTTTTCGATTACCTCTTCTTCGTTAGCAGCCTCGACGGTAAAGCCGCGGTCTTCTTCTCTGAAAAGAATTGGTTTTCAAAGTGCCGGTATAACGATTTAATATCTCTCAATCCAAAGCTATCCCTCAAATTCAGATTATTCAGATTATCGATTATCCTCCTTGGTTAGTCGATCAAAAGTTTCAAATTGTTACCTAGCATCCGGTCCTTCACTGGCTTCACTCGAGAACGACGATGATTTGTAGCCTTCTCCAGCATCGTTGAAATATCTGGCTCGTGGATTGCCGAGAGTTCGAATGTGAATTCGGAGATCCCGGCCAGCCACATCAGCTAAAATTTTGGGATTTACATTTTTCCATTGCTTTCAATGGTTCTTTAAGGCATTCACGACGAGGCGTTTTTTGCGTTACTGCTCCAGTGGACGAGGGGTGTCTCGCAAAGCTATTAGCCCCAAAATACACCTCCTATATGTAAAATTTCATGCTGAATTTGAATCTCTAATCAGATTTTGAAAATATTGCTGCCTCAAAAAGATATCAGCTCTTTTTGGCTCGTGAGACAAAACGCTTTCTCCAAGCGCTTTCTCTTTCTCCAAGCGCTTTCTCTTTCTCCAAGCGCAACCTTATATTTCTCAATTAGAACTAATCGAATCTTTTTACATTTTGAAATTATCTTAAAAAGTTGAAAAGTTAAGTTTCGTTCACCGGTGGACCGAATCGTCCCGAACGTGTTAAGGAATGCAACACTTTAATAGCTTACAATTTTTCAGCAACTAGCTGTACTATAGCAGCTGTAGCTGTAAAATTCTCAACTCATTTCCACCTACCAATCTTCTCGGTCAATCGATTTGCGTAGAAGTTGAGTCGACACAAGAAATCAACATTTGTGAGCAGCGAGAACGAGTCGGTGTACGAGTGCTGTTCACAGAGCTCAAACGCGTTCAATCTCTCGTGCCACTCGTGGCCAATCGCTGCCACACAGGCGATACTTCTTGAGATTCGAATGTTCTCTGGTCGATTCTCCGTGTATGGAGTCACATCACTGAGACTTTTGCAGAAGCGAACCGTCGCAGGAAGGGTTCTTTCATCAACATTGCTCTCGATGAAATCCCGTCCACCACTGCTCTTTCTTGATTCTGCAATCTTTTCTTGATCTTGATCCATGAAAGCAGCGTCATCCTCCAGTTCTACTTCCAAAACGTCTTCGGGCTAAATTTCGAATTGATTGCTTTAATGTAAACTTAAAGACAGCTGCTATTTAGATGAATTAAGACAAAGAGAATTCAGAAAATAGTCTGACAAATTTGCAATGGTGTTCAAATCTCTTTTTTCCGTTTTACATTGACAATTAGACCAAAATTCTCCAGAAAAGCCAGAAAATTTCAAAATATCAACTTAAAAACTTGGCTATTCAGAGTCATAAATCTATCTTAATCTATCTATCATTTTAAAAGCTTTACCTCAAGCGGATACGAAGAATGAGAAGCTCGTAGCAATGAATCTGTATAGATAACTGTAGTCGGCTGTCGCTTCAATTTAGACTCTTCAAATTGTTGATAAGAAAATTCCTCAGGCAACTCTTCTTCAGCAGCAGCTAATTCGTCTTTTTCTGCGTTAAAAACAAATGCACTTGAACCGAAAAACTCCTGTTCATTCGTGGCTCTTGTTGGCGTTTTGATGAATTCCAGCGCTGAAATTGTCGTTTGTCTTGGTGGGAAAGATCTGTTTGTAGAAATTCCTTCAATAGATGACCGAATGGTTGTAGATTGTAGCTTTTCACTAAGTTGTTGCACGCTAACAGATGATCTTCGACGCACTTGCGTCCCTGGTAAATAATGTTGTTCGATCGATACAGGCTCTTTCGGGGATTCAGCTTGAGTCAAGGTCTCGTCGAGTTTAGAGTACTCCAACTTTGCTTCAGCGACCTTTTGTGCATGAGAAATAGTTGCATCAAATCCCTCAATCAGTTCATCATCCAAAATCGCTTTTCTTTCTTGTTCAAAGTCGATCATTGACTGTTCAGCCATTTTCTGGATCCAAGCAATGTGGTCTAGCTCTTCTTGAGTTAATTGATCACTTGGAACGTTAGCTTCTTCTTGAATCACCGGTTCAAGTTGGGGTGAGAACCTCTCCTCAAGTGGTGCTTCTTCAACTGATGACTGGTCGAACTCAGCATCAGCACCAGATGTTGCACTTGAACGTTCTTCAATCGATTCAGTTCTATCACCCCATGATGGCAAGTCCTCTGTGAACTCTAACTTTGCTTCAAGAACCTTTTGTGCATGTACAATTGTTTCATCAAGCCTTTCAATCAGTTCATCATCATGAATTGCTTTTCTTTCTTGTTCAAAGTCGATCATTGACTGTTCAGCCATCTTCTGGATCCAAGCAATGTGATCTAGCTCTTCTTGAGTTAATTGATCACTTGGAACGTTAGCTTCTTCTTTAATCACAGGTTCAAGTTGGGGTGAGAACCCCTCAAAAAGTGGTGCTTCTTCAACTGATGACTGGTCGAATTCAGCATCAGCACCGGATGTTGCACCTGAATGTTCTTCAACTGATTCAGCACGATCTCCCGAGGAAGGCAATTCATCAATGAATTCCAAATTTGCTTCGATAACATTTTGGGCGTATGAAGTAGTGGGATCAAATCTCTCAATCAGTTCATCATCATGAATCGCTTTCCTTTGTTCTTCAAAGTCGATTGTTGACTGTTCAGCCATCTTTTGGATCCAAGCAATGTGATCAAGCTCTTCTTGGGTCAATTGATCATTTGTTGGCGCTTCTTCTTCTTCATCCTTTATCACTGTCTCGAGTTGGGGGGAGAATCTTTCAAATAAAGGTGCCTCTTCAATAGACGATTGATCAAAGGAACGATTTTCATCAGCCCCCGCGGTTGCGCTTGATCGCTCCTCAAAAGATTCAATTCTATCACCCCATGACGGCAATTCTTCTGTGAACTCCAAATTCACCTCATGAATCTTTTGAGCATGAGAAATTGTTGCATCGAATCTCTCGACAAGCTCGTCATCAAAAATTGCTTTTCTTTGCTGCTCAAAGTCGATTGTTGACTGTTCAGCCATCTTTTGAATCCAAGCAATATGGTCGAGCTCTTCTTGAGTGAGCTGGTCACTTGGTTCTTCTTTGATTACTGCCTCAAGTTGAGGAGAGAAACGTTCGTAAAGTGGCGCCTCTTCAACTGAAGATTGATCAAATGAGTGTTCAGCATCAGCTCCTGATGTTGCACTTGAAAGTTCTTCAATGGACTCAGCTCTATCACCCCATGACGGCAAATCTTCAGTGAACTCCAATTTTGCTTCGGCAACTTTTTGTGCGTGAGAAGTATTAGCATCAAATCTCTCAATCAATTCATCATCGAAAATTGCTTTTCTTTCTTGTTCAAAGTCAAACATGGATTGCTCAGCCATCTTTTGCACCCAAGCAATGTGGTCTAGCTCTTCTTGAGTCAATTGATTCCTTGGAGCACTAACTTCTTCCTTGAGTAACGTCTCTTCAGATAAATACTCAGCATCAGCAGCGGATGTTGCACTTGATCGCTCACCGGTTGATTCAACACCCCAATCAGGTAACTCTTCAGCGAATTCTAACCTTGCCTCGGCAATTCTCTGTGCCTGCAAAGTGGTAGAATCAAAATCATGAATTGCTTTCCTTTCTTGTTCAAAGTCGACTGTTGATTGTTCAGCCATCTTCTGGATCCAAGCAATGTGATCTAACTCTTCTTGAGTTAACTGATCACTTGAAATGTTAGCTTCTTCTTGAATCACAGGCTCAAGTTGGGGTGAGAACCTCTCAAAAAGTGGTGCATCTTCAACTGATGACTGATCGAATTAGCATCAGCACCGGATGTTGCACTTGAACGTTCTTCAACTGATTCAGCACGATCTCCCCAGGAAGGCAAGTCCTCAGTGGATTCCAACCTTGCTTCGAGAACCATTTGTGCATGAGAAGTAGTAGCATCAAATCTCTCAATCAGTTCATCATCAGGAATTTCTTTCCTTTGTTGTTCAAAGTCGATTGTTGACTGCTCGGCCATCTTCTGAATCCAAGCAATATGATCTAACTCTTCTTGAGTCCACTGATCGCTTTGACCGGCAACCTCTTCTTCTTCCTTGATTATCGGTTCAAGTTGAGGAGAGAATCGTTCATAAAGGGGCGCTTCCTCAATGGATGATTCGCTAAATGAGCGATTTTCATCAGCACCCGATGTTGCACTGGATTTTTCAAAGGATTCGGCTTCATCACCCCAAGACGGCAAATCTTCAGTGAACTCCAATTTTGCTGCGAGAACCATTTGTGCATATGAAGTAGTAGAATCAAATCGTTCAATTAGCTCCTCATCGTGAATTGCTTTCCTCTGTTCTTCAAAGTCTATCATTGACTGCTCAGCCATCTTCTGGATCCAAGCAATGTGATCAATTTCTTCTTGAGTCAATTGATCACTTGGAACGGCAACCTCTTCTTCTTTGATCACTGGCTCCAGTTCGGATGAGAATCTCTCATAGAGTGGCGCTTCTTCAATTGATGACTGATCAAAAGAACGATCTTCATCAGCACCAGACGTGCAAGAAGACACACTTTCTGAGCCGATTCGAGAGAATTTCGGCATCGAAAATGATGGCTGGATCAATTCAACCTTTTCACTGTAACAAGTCTGAATCATAGTTTCAGATTCAAGATAATTTTCATGTTGTTGGATCCAGAATCGGCTCTGCAATTGACCATACTCCAGCTCCTCCTTTTTCTGATTCTCTCAAGTCGACCTCAATCGTTGCTGACAAAATGTCATCTTGAACTTTCGGTGGCTCGGGGCGAGAAGGTGACATTGCCTTGAAAACATGTTCAATTTGAGTCAACTGAATACTTTCGAGTTCAGGTGAAAATCTCTCGTGCAGTGGGGCCTCTTCAACGGAAGATTGGTCAAATGAATGTTCAGCATCAGCGCCTGATGTTGCACCTGAAAGTTCTTCAATGGACTCGGCTCTATCACCCCAAGACGGCAAATCTTCGGTAAACTCTAACCTTGCTTCAGCAACCTTCAATGCGCATGAAGTAGTTGCATCAAATCTCTCAATTAGTTCATCATCGGGAATCGCTTTCCTTTGTTGTTCAAAGTCAATTATTGACTGTTCAGCCATCTTTTGAATCCAAGCAATATGGTCGAGCTCTTCTTGGGTTAACTCATTACTTTGAACAACCTCAGCCCTTTCCTCATCAGCTTTGTCAAATGTACGATCTTCATCAGCACCAGATGTTGAACTCAAGTGTTTCTCAATTGATTCATCTCGATCACCCCAAGACGGCAAATCTTGCGTAAACTCCAACTTTGCTTCGAGAACCATTTGTGCATGTACAGGTTGTTGCATCAAATCTATCAATCAGTTCATCATCATGAATCGCTTTTCTTTGTTGCTCAAAGTCGATTGTTGACTGTTCAGCCATCTTCTGGATCCAAGCAATGTGATCTAGCTCTTCTTGAGTTAATTGATCACTTGGAACGTTAGCTTCTTCTTTAATCACAGGTTCAAGTTCGGGTGAGAACCTCTCAAAAAGTGGTGCTTCTTCAACTGATGACTGACCGAATTCAGCATCGGCCCCGGACGTTGCACTTGAACGTTCTTCAACTGATTCAGCACGATCTCCCCAGGAAGGCAAGTCCTCAATGAATTCCAACTTTGCTTCGATAACATTTTCAGCGTATGAAGTAGTAGCATCAAAACTCTCAATGAGTTCATCATCATGAATCGCTTTTCTTTGCTGCTCAAAGTCGATTGTTGACTGTTCCGCCATCTTTTGAATCCAAGCAATATGGTCTAGCTCTTCTTGTGTCAGCTGATTACTTGAAACAGGAAGATCATGCTCTTCTTCTTTGATCACCGGCTCGAGCTGGGGAGAGAACCTTTCGTATAATGCCGCCTCCTCAACAGATGATTGGTCAAAAGAGCGGTCGGCGTCAGCACCGGATGTCGCACTTGATCTTTCAATGGATTCAACTCTATCACCCCATGACGGTAAATCTTCTGAAAACTCCAGCTTTGCCTCGACAACTTTTTGCGCGTGGGAAACGGTTGCATCAAGTTTCCCAATCAATTCATCGCCAAAGACTGCTTTCCGCTGTTGTTCAAAATCAAGGTTGGATTGCGCAGCCATCTTCTGAATCCAAGCAATGTGGTCGAGTTCTTCCTGAGTCAACTGATCACTCGGAGCATCTTCTCTGAACATTGGCTCTAGTTCAATTATTGTTGAGTTCGAATTTTCTATCGATTCTAATTCTTTATCTATCACCGGTAAGATTTGAGCTGTTTCTAGCTTTGCCTGAATTAATAACTGAGCTTGAACAGTGATGGGATCAAATCTGTCAACAAGTTGATCATCCAAGATTGCTTTTCTTTGTTGTTCGAAATTTATAGTTGACTGTTGTGCTTTTTTCAGAATCGCGGCAATGTGATCAAGTTCTTCTTGAGTCAACTGGTCACTTGCAGCAGCAACTTCTTCTTTAATCTCGAGTTGCGGAGAGAACCGTTGATAAAGTGGCACCTCCTCAACCGAAGATTGATCGAACGAGTGCTCAGCATCAGCGCCGGATGTTGCACTTGATCGCACCTCAAGTGATTCAGCTCGATAACCCCATGTCGGCAAATTTTCGGTAAACTCCAATTTTGCTTCTAGAACCTCTTTACCATGAGAAGTGGCTGCATCAAATCTCTCAATCAGTTCATCATCGGGAATCGCGTTCCTTTGTTGGTCAAAGTCGAACGTGGATTGTTCAGCCATTTTCTGAATCCAAGCAATGTGATCTAGCTCTTCCTGAGTCAACTGGTCACTTGGAACGGCAACCTCTTCTTCTTCCTTGATTATCGGTTCAAGTTGAGGAGAGAATCGTTCATAAAGGGGCGCTTCCTCAATGGATGATTCGCTAAATGAGCGATTTCCATCAGAACCCGATGTTTCACTTGATCTTTCAAAGGATTCGGCTTGATCATCCCAAGACGGTAAATCTTCAGTGAACTCCAATTTTGCTTCAGCGACCTTTTGTGCATGAGAAGTAGTTGCATCAAATCTCTCAATCAGTTCATCATCATTAATTGCTTTCCTTTGTTTTTCAAAGTCGATTGTTGACTGTTCAGCCATCTTCTGGATCCAAGCAATGTGAGCTAGCTCTTCCTGAGTCAACTGGTCACTCGGAACAACCTGTTTTCCATCTTCTTTAAGTAAAGTTTCTTCAAAGGACTGATCAATGGTACGCTCTTCATCAGCACCAGATGTTGCACTTGATCGCTTCTCAATCGATTCATCTCGGTCAGTATATAATACCAACTCTTCACTCAATTCCAACTTTGCTTTGGTAACATTTTGGCCATAAGAAGTTGTAGCATCAAACCTCTGAAATAGCCCTTCGTCAAAGATTGTTTTCCGTTGTTGTTCAAAGTCAAGAGTGGTTTGTTCAGCCAATTTTTGAATCCAAGCAATGTGATCAAGCTCTTTTTGAGTTAACTCGTCACTTGGAGCAGCAACCTCCCCTTCTTTGAATGTTGTTTCTTCAAATGATGACTGATCAAACGAATGATCCACATCAGCACCAGATGTTGCACTTGAGTGTGCTCCAACCGATTTCGATCGTTCGGCCTCTTTGAATCTTTGGTGAATCAAAAGTAAGTCTTCGGTAAACTCCAACTTTGCTTCAAAGACATTTTGTGCATGGGAAGTTGTTGCATCAAATCTATCAATCAGTTCATCATCCTGAATCGCTTTCCTTTGCTGCTCAAAGTCGATTGTTGATTGTTCAGCCATCTTTTGAATCCAAGCAATGTGATCTAGCTCTTCTTGAGTCAATTGATCACTTAGAACATTGGCTTCTTCTTTAATCACAGGCGCAAGTTGGGGTGAGAACCTCTCATAAAGTGGTGCATCTTCAACTGATGACTGATCGAATTCATCAGCACCGGATGTTGCACTTGAACGTGCTTCAATTGATTCGGCACGATCTCCCCAGGAAGGCAAGTCCTCAGTGAATTCCAACTTTGTTTCAATAACATTTTGGGCGCAAGAAGTTGTAGAATCAAACCGCTCAATGAGTTCATCATCAAAAATTGCTTGTCTTTGCTGCTCAAAGTCGATTGTTGACTGCTCAGCCATCTTTTGAATCCAAGCAATATGGTCGAGCTCTTCTTGTGTCAGCTGATCACCTGGAGCGGCAATCTCAACTTCTTTGGTCTCAAGCTGGGGAGAGAGCCTTTCAAATAGTGATGCCTCTTCAACTGATGACTGATCAAATGAACGGCCGGCATCAGCACCGGATGTCGCACTTGATCCTTCAATGGATTCAACTCTATCACCCCATGACAGTAAATCTTCTGTAAACTCCAGCTTTGCCTCGACAACTTTTTGCGCGTGGGAAACGGTTGCATCAAGTTTCTCAATCAATTCATCGTCAAAGATTGCTTTCCGCTGTTTTTCAAAATCAAGGGTGGATTGCGCAGCCATCTTCTGAATCCAAGCAATGTGGTCGAGTTCTTCCTGAGTCAACTGATCACTCGGGCCAACAATCTCTTCTTTTTTAATCTCGTGTTGGGGAGAGAATCTTTCAGATAGAGGCACCTCTTCAACTGAGGACTGATCAAATGAACGGTCGGCGTCAGCACCGGATGTCGCACTTGACTTTTCAATGGATTCAACTCTATCACCCCATGACGGTAAATCTTCAATAAACTCTAGCTTTGCTTCAGCAACCATATTTGCGTATGAAGTGGTTGCATCAAACCTTTCAACGATTTCATCATCAAAGATTGCTTTCCTTTGTTCTTCAAAGTCGATTGTGGATTGTTCAGCCATTTTCTGAATCCAAGCAATGTGATCAAGTTCTTCTTGAGTCAATTGGTCACTTGGAACGGGAACCTCTTCTTTGGCCACAAGTTCAAGTTGAGGAGAGAACCGTTCGTAAAGTGGTGTCTCTTCAACCGATGATTGATCGAACGAGTGCTCAGCATCAGCGCCGGATGTTGCACTTGATCGCTCCTCAATCGATTCGGCTCTTTCACCCCATAATTCGTTGTCCTTTGACCAAGCACCACTTGCATCAGTTCCAAAATCAGTAGCCTCATCTTCGCTTTCTGAGTCAGACGAGTCAAAACCGTAGAGTTCTTTTCTGCCGATCCTCTCAATCTTAACTTCTAAATTATCTAATATCAAGTTCGTCGCTTGCATTTGATCCATGATTTCTTCACTGATTTGCTTGGCCGAGAGATCAGCACGCGTTTCAAAACCGGCAACAGTTGGAGCTCGTAACAATGGTGGTCTTTTCTTTAAAGCCGGGGTCGGCGGCGAGGCTGTTTCAAATGGTTTCACTTGTGCTCCTTCGTTTTTAATGATTCTGGTGCTCAAATCAAATGAATGCCGTCTACCGATCCGATTGGCCACATTGAGTATCTCTGCAAACTGATTACTGATCACCATCGTTGCCAGCTCATTCGAGATCCCAGTTGTGTCCAAAGTTTCTTCAATTGAGCTGCTAGAAGAAGCTATTGAGCTTAAGTCTGATTCTTTTTCTTCAAAGATAATCTTTTCATTGGCTCTCCGTAGATTATCACAATTTCGCTTTAAAGGCCAGAGTTTTGTCTTGAAAAACTCTTTGCTTTTCGTCTCCATTAAAATATTCAATTCTTCAAAATCGATGCTTTCAGTAAATGAGTCACTTTGATATTCAGATCCCGTTGATTCTCGTTCATCATCCGCTTCCGAAGTCAAAGAAGAATCTTCTGAGTCTTCGGGAAACGATACAGATTCAGATTTAGGTCGGTCATCATCTTCACTCCAAAAGGTAAGAGTTGGAATGCTTGTTGGTACTTCGCCACGTTGATATTCTCTTGCTTTAGTCTTGAGTTCTTCAAGTTGTTGCATCACATAAGTCTTGCTCAAATCAATTTTCTCAACCGAGTCTGCACTTTGTTTTCTAGGTGGTGCAGGTCGTGGTGGTGGTTTTCTTTCAACACTTTCAACTTGTTGTAAAATTTTACGATGTTCTAATTCTTCAATTGTTTCTTCTTCAGTTTGTTCTTCAGATTCTCGTTTATCTTCACCCGAAGTAGGTGTGGAAGCTTGTGATACAGTTGGAAGAATGATAGGCAAGGACCAATCAATGATTGCTGGTCTTTCAGTGCTTGTACATGTTACAGTCTCAAGTTTTAGATGCATTTCCTCATCGATAAGTTGAACCGGAGAGATTAGAATCGAATTTTCAGCGCTTGCGCTTGATAGCTTCTCTGTTTCAGCAGTGATAACAGAAATTGATTCGAGTTTGATCTCGTCAAAGATTCTAGATGGTTCTAGTCTAGCAGGTGGCAATTTATAGAAATCTTCTCGTTCAAATGATTCCTGATCAAAGGAGGCTTCATCGTCTGCACCAGATGTTGACGATGATTTGACAGATTCTTCCATCTCTTTACTCCATAAAGTATTTCCCATTAAAGCTTGTACTTTGGAAATAAATGGCCGAACAATAATCACTTCTTGATCGATTTTTTCACTGTTCACTGTGATCGTTGCCACTTTCTCTCTAATCTCTCTTTCTTTTTCGAGTTCTGGCGACATGACTAACGTTAATTCTTCTTTGTCAAATTCGATTTCTCGAGACTGACAAATTTCTGATTCCTTATGTCCCCATTCACTTGGTCGAGGACGTCTTGGCTTTGCCAATGCCCATTCAGCAGATGTTTCTTTTACTAGTTTCGCCAAAAAATCATATTCATTGCCTTGTGACTCTTGTTTAACAGTCAAAGTTTTAGTTTCAGATGATTTTACTTCATCATCCCGAGAAGGCAAGCTCTCGCTAAACTCGAACTTTGCTTCGGGAACCATTTGTGCATGAGAAGTAGTTGCATCAAATCTCTCAATGAGCTCATTATCGTGAATCGCTTTCCTTTGTTCTTCGAAGTTAAACGTAGATTGTTCAGCCATTTTCTGAATCCAAGCAATGTGAGCTAGCTCTTCCTGAGTCAACTGGTCACTTGGAACAACCTGTTCTCCATCTTCTTTGAGTAAAGTTTCTTCAAATGATGATTGTTCAAACGAATGCTCCACATCAGCACCAGATGTTGCGCTCGAGTGTTCTTCAACCGATTCAACTTGGTTATCCCAAGAAGGCAAGTTTTCAGTGAGCTCCAACTTTGCCTCAATAATCTTTTGTGTATGTGAGGTTGTAGCATCAGTCTCCTCAACTAGCTCTTCATCAAAGATTGCCATTCTTTCTTTTTCAAAATCAAGAGTGGATTGTTCAGCCATCTTCTGGATCCAAGCAATGTGATCTAGTTCTTCCTGAGTCAACTGATGGCTCGGAATAACGACCGCTTCTTCTTTGATTGCTGTCTTGAGTGGAGAAGAAAATTCCTTATATAAAGGCGCTTCCTCAACAGACGATTGGTCAAATGAACGGTCGGCATCAGCACCGGATGTCACACTTGATCTTTCAATTGATTCAACTCTATCACCCCAAGACGGCAAATCTTCCGTAAACTCCAACTTTGCTTCGAGGACCTTTTGTGCATGAGAAGTAGAAGCATCAAATCTCTCAATCAGCTCATCATCCTGAATCGTTTTTCTTTGTTGTTCAAAGTCGATTGTTGACTGCTCGGCCACTTCTGAATCCAAGCAATAGACTAACTCTTCTTGAGTCAACTGATCGCTTTGACCGGCAACCCTTCTTCTCCTTGATTATTGGTCGTTGAGGAGAGAACGCAAAGGGCCGCTTCCTCAATGGAGACGCTAAATGAGCGATTTTCGTCAGCACCCGATGTTTCACTTGATCTTTCAAAGGATTCGGCTTGATCACCGCAAGACGGCAAATCTTCAGTCAACTCCAACTTTGCTTCAAAGACATTTTGTGCAGGAAGTAGTGCACAAACTCTCAACAGTCATCATCGTGAGTTGCCCTTGTTGTTCAAAGGCGACAGACTGTTCAGCCACTTCTGGATCCAAATAAGTGATCTAACTCTTCTGAGTTAATTGATCACTTGGAATATAGCCTTAATCACAGGTCAAGTTCGGGGAGAAACCTCATAGAGTGGCGCTTCTTCAACGATGACTGCGATGGCACAACACCAGATGTTGCACTTGAACGTGCTTCAATTGATTCAGCACGATCTCCCCAAGAAGGCAAGTTCTCAGTGAATTCCAACTTTGTTTCGATAACATTTTGGGCGCAAGAAGTTGTAAGATCAAACGGCTCAATAGTTCATTATCAAGAATTGCTTTTCTTTGCTGCTCAAAGTCGATTGTTGACTGTTCAGCCATCTTTTGAAGCCAAGCAATGTGATTTAGTTCTTCTTGGGTTAACTCATTACTTTGAACAACCTCAGCCTTTTCTTCATCTTCTTTGAGTAACATTTCATCAAATGATGACTGGTCAAATGTACGGTCAGCACCAGATGTCGAACTCAAGTGTTTCTCAATTGATTCATCTCGATCACCCCATGAGGGCAAACCTTCCGTAAACTCCAACTTTGCTTCGAGAACCATTTGTGCATGGGAGGTTGTTGCATCAAATCTCTCAATGAGCTCATCATCATTAATTGCTTTCCTTTGTTGTTCAAAGTCGATTGTTGACTGTTCAGCCATCTTTTGGATCCAAGCAATGTGGTCAAGCTCTTCTTGGGTCAACTGATCATTTGGAGGTACAACCTCATGCTGATCATTGACTTTACGAGTAATGGTTGGGAGCTTTCTTTTGCAAACATTCTCAATGCTTCACTTCCGCAAAGTGAAGCTTCCAATGATGTTTTGACTTCAATAACTAGTTCTTCTTTCGGTGGAATCAATACCGGGTTTTCAGCTGTAACTTTTGATACTTGCGTTGATTGAGAATAATCGACGGTGATCTGTTTTAATACTAGCAAATCTTGGATAGCTGGTGGAATTGGTCGAGGTGGTGGGACCCGAGCACCGAATTCCGTTGAAGCTTCTTGGAGTATTTTCTTCATCAAGCTGGGTCCCGGTTCGCTTTCATTTGTTAAGAATCCTTCTTCCATTGAGCCTTGGAACTGATCACTGATGCCAGCTTGTGAAATAGGAGACACTGGTGAATGATCATCAGCTCCTGATGTTGCACTGGACTTTTCTATCGATTCTGATTCCTCGTCTCTCATCGGTAAGATTTGAACTGTTTCTAGCTGTGCCTGAATTAATAACTGAGCGTGAACAGTGATGGGATCAAATTTGTCAAGAAGTTGATCGTCAAATATTGCTTTTCTTTGTTGTTCGAAATTTATAGTTGACTGTTGTGCTTTTTTCAGAATCGCGGCAATATGATCAAGTTCTTCTTGAGTCAACTGGTCACTTGGAGCAGCAACTTCTTGTTTAATCTCGAGTTGCGGAGAGAAACGTTGATAAAGTGGCACCTCCTCAACCGAGAATTGATCAAACGAGTGTTCAGCATCAGCGCCGGATGTTGCACTTGATCGCACCTCGAATGATTCAGCTCGATAACCCCATGTCGGCAAATTTTCGGTAAACTCCAATTTTGCTTCTAGAACCTCTTTACCATGAGAAGTGGCTGCATCAAATCTCTCAATCAGTTCATCATCGGGAATCGCTTTCCTTTGTTGGTCAAAGTCGAACGTGGATTGTTCAGCCATTTTCTGAATCCAAGCAATGTGATCTAACTCTTCTTGAGTCAACTGATCGCTTAGACCGGCAACCTCTTCTTCTTCCTTGATTATCGGTTCAAGTTGAGGAGAGAATCGTTCATAAAGGGGCGCTTCCTCAATGGATGATTCGCTAAATGAGCGATTTCCATCAGAACCCGATGTTTCACTTGATCTTTCAAAGGATTCGGCTTGATCATCCCAAGACGGTAAATCTTCAGTGAACTCCAACTTTGCTGCGAGAACCATTTGTGCATATGAAGTAGTAGAATCAAATCTCTCAATCGTTTCATCATCATTAATTGCTTTCCTTTCTTGTTCAAAGTTAATCGTAGACTGTTCAGCCATCTTCTGGATCCAAGCAATGTGATCAAGTTCTTCTTGAGTCAATTGATCACTTGGAACGGCAACCTCTTCTTCTGTGATCACCGGCTCGAGTTCGGGTGAGAATCTCTCATAGAGTGGCGCTTCTTCAATTGATGACTGATCAAAAGAACGATCTTCATCAGCACCAGACGTGCAAGAAGACACACTTTCTGAGCCGATTCGAGAGAATATCGGCATCGAAAATGAAGGCTGGATCCATTCAACCTTTTCACTGTAACAAGTCTCAATCATAGTTTCAGATTCAAGATAAGTTTCATGTTGTTGGATCCGAATCGGCTCTGCAATTGACCATATTCCAGCTTTTCCTTTTTCTGATTCTCTCAAGTTGACCTCAATCGTTGCTGACAAAATGTCATCTTGAAGTCTTGGTGGTCCGGGACGAGGAGGTGGCATTGGTTTCAAACTCTCTTTTCGAGTATGAGAAATTTCTTCTTGAGCCAACGAAACATTCTCGAGTTCGGGTGAGAATCTCTCATAGAGTGGCTCTTCAACTGATGATTGGTCAAAAGAATGTTCATTATCAGCACCTGATGTTGCGCTTGAATGTTCTTCAATCGATTCAGCTCTATCACCCCATGATGGCAAGTCCTCTGTAAACTCTAACTTTGCATCAAGAATCTTTTGTGCATGTACAATTGTTTCATCAAGCCTTTCCATAAGTTCATCATCAAAAATTGCTTTCCTTTGTTGTTCAAAGTCGATTGCTGACCTTTCAGCCATCTTTTGAATCCAAGCAATGTGATCAAGTTCTTCTTGAGTCAACTGATCACTCGGAGCAGCAATCTCTTCTTTGATCTCAGATTTTGGAGAAAATCTTTCATAGAGTGGTAAGTCTTCACTTGGTGATTCTAGTGTTTCTTCATCAGCACCCGAAGTGGCAGAAGAGTGTGTCTCTTCACTAATCTGTGAAATCACTCGTCGAAAAGGCGTTGGTTCCACTTGTAGAGGTTTTCTGAATTCAATCTCTTCACTGTAACAAGTGGCAGTTGTTATGCTTACGACGATTTCTTGGTCTTTTGTTTTTCTTGGTTCTATAGTCTGTGATAGTGAAGGGAAAGTTGAGATCGATTTTGAAGTGGCAAGATCGATTTGAATTCGGTGAGAGACAAGTTGATCGAGCTTCGGTGGGCTGGGTCGGGGTGGTGGCATAGAAGGTGTAGGCTGAGGCTCTTCATCAAATGATTGCTTAAACAATCTATCATGATCAGCCCCAGAAGTTGCAGACGATTCTGCTTCTGATAGATTTTGTTCTTCATCAGCTCCAGAAGTTCTCGATGAGACTTGAGAGATCTCTCTTACAAGCAAGGGTTGTGATGTTTCGGCTGTCAAACCTTCTTCACTCCAAAAAGTCGCTGTCACTATTCGAGACATTTCCTCTCTTTCAAGTTCCTTTTCTGGTGAGATCAACTGAACAGTTTCAATTTTAAACGGCACAATGTCAACCGTTGAAACAATGCTTTTGTCTAGATCCACTTGAATCTCTTCCATCATTGGTTCTAGCAATTCAAATGAATCTTGATCAGCACCAGAAGTTGCTGAAGAAGCAGTCGCAGAGTCTTTTCTAGGCAAAATTAATAAAGTGCTGGCTTCTCTTGGAGCCACTTCTTCTCCAAAATAGTTGATTGTCTCAATTCTTGATAAGATTTCTTCTTCATCACACATTTTTGGAGGAATCAAATTCGAGATCTCAGCTTTTATCAGTAAAACTTCAGTTGAACTTATAAAATCAATATTCGGTTGATCACTGAAAGTAATATCATCGACTTCTTGTACTTGTATTTGTTCAAATTCTTGTTCAAAAGATCTCTCATCATCAGCTCCACTTGTCGACGAAGAAGCAAAAGATTCTTCTCTCAAAAGTTCTTGTAAAGCTTGAGCACTTTGTTCTACCTCTTCACTGAAATAGGTAACAGATTCAATTCTTGATGCACTTGGTTGGGGTGAGATGCCCCTACTGGTGTGAGTGGTGGCCTTCCCACCCTTCACCAAAATAAGAGCGGTAATTCTTGCTTCAAGTCTTGGCCATAGGGGGGAAGCTTGGGATTCAGCAACAATCCACTTCTCAGACTTTGCAGTCTAGGTATCATTAACAAAAGTCTACTCAGTGTTCTTGAGTCGAATGCCTTTTACGTTCGCACCGTGCGAAGAAGCCCGTTGTGAAGTACTTGGCTTTCCAAGAGTCACATCTTCTCCAAAATAGGTGACTGTTTGAATTCTTGACACTGCTTTAAAATCATCAATTATTAAAGGAGGGATCAAACTTGGAACTTCAGCCATTGCCAACTGAATCTGATCAGACTTTTGAACTATTGTAGTCATAGTATTGACAAAAGTGTTATCATCAATTGGTTCTTGTACTTGCTCAAACAATTCTTTTTCAAATGATTGATCTTGATCAGCTCCCGATGTTGACGAAGAAGCAAAAGATTCTTTTCTCAAAAGTTCTTGTGAAGTTTGACAGCTTTCAAGGGTCACTTCTTCTCCAAAATAAGTCACCGTCTCTATCCTTGATGAAATTTCTTGTTCCTCTATCAACTCTGGAGGAATGACTCCAGGAATCTCAGATGTCAGCAGGCGATGAGAAGCCAAAAGATCAGTATTAATTCTATCTCTTAAAACAATATCTTTCACTTGTTCATGAGGATTCTCTAGCTCAAACGATTCCCTTTCAAAAGATCTCTCATCATCAGCTCCACTTGTCGACGAAGAAGCAAAAGATTCTTTTCTCAAAAGTTCTTGTGAAGCTTGAGCACTTTGTCCTAAATCTTCACTGAAATAGGTAACAGATTCAATTCTTGATGCAATTTCTACTTCACTGCTGATATCCGGAGAAATCGGTTCCACTCTCTCAGCTTTTGTAAGCAAAACCTCAGTGAATCTGATCATTTTGATATTTGGTCGGTCTCTCAAAATCTCATCTTCAACTTGTTCTTGTGCTTGAATTTCTTGCTCTTGATCAAAAGATCTCTCATCATCAGCTCCACTGGTCGATGAAGAGGCAAAAGATTCTTTTCTCAAGAGTTTTTGAGAAGTTTGAGAGCTTTCAAGGGCCACTTCTTCTCCAAAATAAGTCACCGTCTCTATTCTTGATGAAATTTCTTGTTCCTCTATCAACTCTGGAGGAATGACTCCAGGAATCTCAGGTGTCAGCAGGCGATGAGAAGCCAAAAGATCAGTATTAATTCTATCTCTTAAAACAATATCTTTCACTTGTTCTTGAGGATTCTCTAGCTCAAATGATTCTTGTTCAAATGATTGATCTTGATCAGCTCCTGATGTTGATGAAGAAGCTGTGAAAGTTTCTGAATCTTCTCTGAACAAAACCGAAGTACTTGGCTCTTCTCTCACCTCTTCACCAAAATAAGTAGCGGTTACAATTCTCGTTTTCATTTCAAGTTCTTGAGCCATAGTGGGTGAGATTAAGCTTGGGATTTCAGCTTTAATCAATTCCACTTCCTCAGACTTTTGCAGTTCTAGAGTAATTACATTAACAAAAGTACTATCTTCAAGTGATTCTTGTAGATCGAATGACTCTTGTTCAAACGATTGATCAGCGCCGGATGTTGCTGAAGAAGCAATAGAAATTTCCGATTCTTCTTTGACCAAGACTGGTTGTGAAGTACTTGGCTTTCCAAGAGTCACATCTTCTCCAAAATAGGTGACTGTTTGAATTCTTGACACTGCTTTAACATCATCAACTATTAAAGGAGGGATCAAACTTGGAACTTCAGCCATTGCCAACTGAATCTGATCAGACTTTTGAATTATTGTAGTCATAGTATTGACAAAAGTGTTAGCATCAATTCGTTCTTGTACTTGCTCAAACGATTCTTTTTCAAATGATTGCTCTTGATCAGCTCCCGATGTTGATGAAGAAGCTGTGAAAGTTTCAGAATCTTCTCTGATCAAAACTGAAGTACTTGGCTCTTCTCTTACCTCTTCACCAAAATAAGTAGCGGTTACAATTCTCGTTGTCATTTCAAGTTCTTGAGCCATCGTGGGTGAGATTAAGCTTGGGGTTTCAGCTTTAATCAATTCCACTTTCTCCGACTTTTGCAGCTCTAAAGTCATTGCATCAACAAAATTGATGTCTTCAACTGGTGAAACTAGAATTTCAAAAGATCCCTGTTCAAATGATCGTTCTCGATCAGCACCAGATGTTGAAGAAGAGGCTGTGAAAGTTTTCGAGTCTTCTCTACTCAAAATCGGTAAAGAATTTAGTTGAAAGCTCAAATTCTCACCAAAACAGGTAGTAGTCACAATGCTTGATGTGATTTCACGTTCAGCACGTTCAGCGTTCAGCATTAAAGCTGGTATAATGTTGGGGATTTCAGGCTTGACTAGGCTTACTTCTTCAGACTTCTCAACTTCTAGAAATGTTGTTTCTTGCCGAATAACATCATCAACAGATTTTGGAAATAATTCTAGAGATTCTTGTTTCAACAATTGATCATTATCATCGTCAGAAGTTGAAGCGATGAGCAAGATTGGCTGAGAAGTGCTCGATTTAAAGCACACCTCTTCACCAAAAGCCGTAGCCATCCAGATTCTTGTGTAAACTTTTAATTCCTCTAACAATTCCGGTATTTGAGCTGAAACCTCAGCTTGAACAAGTTTTATTTCCATAGATTGTGCAGTAGATTGCACAGTACTCGATGAAACATCAACTTCAGCAAGATTCTCCTCAAATAGACTAGATTTCTCCGAATCAACTCCACTCATCAGTGATGGAACAAATCTTTGACTATTCAACGCTGACATCTCATCAAGTCTCTCATAAACTTGTTCATTCTCCAGTTCTTCCTCAGAGCTAGAAGACGGTTTTATAAAATCCTTTTCCTCTTCAAGTCGTTCATAGAAAATATCTCTTTCCAAAATCTCCCCAAAATCAGTTTCAGAAGAAGACTCTTCTTCTGAGGCTTCTTCTTCGACTTCAGAAACTTTCCTCAAAGCATTGTACTCTTCTTTCCTCTTTTCCTCCACTTCTCTTAGTTTTGTCTGTGTCCAACTCGGGGGTTTCGGTCGTGGCGGTGGTTGATGCCGATTTAAATCGATCATTTTCGCTCGCTCAAGCAACTCCTCTAACGTTTTTGAATAGGCAATCATTGGGACAATGTAATCCGTCGCTTCATACGAGATCAATTCCTCTTCATCGTACTCCAGCTCTCTTTCAAGCTCTCTCTCAATAATGTCTACAAAGAATTCACTCTGGAATCTCTTCGGTGGCGATAAACTTCGTTCAATTCTTGTGATCATTATATCCTGATACAGCTCCTCTTCTAACTTCATCATTTTCAAGGCAAATTCTGAAGTAGATGGTGAAGAATGGTGATCAATTGAGTGAATTGTCGGTGTCTTTGGCTCTTCTTTTTCTCTTTTCATCCATTCCATCCATTCGTAACGATTAATGACGGAAACTGGTCGAGAGCCGCTTGATAGGGAACTATTCGACGCGGAGAGGATGACAGAACAACCATCGGGCACATCATCCACTTCTTCTTCCATCACAGAATAGGCGAATGGGATGGCGCTCGATGTGGAAGCGGTGGAGGCTGGAAAATGACTGTAATCTAGAGGAGATTTTGATCATAATCTTTTCTCAATTACTTATAAGCTTAATAGAAATCACTGAAGTATGTTCGAGGTTTTCCATTTCAAATTTCAAAGAAAGAAATCTGTAACGAAAAGGAACCAATTCTGTAGAGAAAAGGAAGGAAATCTCTAGAGAAAAGGAACCAAATTTGTAGAGAAAAGGGGTCAAATCTGTAGGGAAAAGGAACTAAATCTTTGGAGAAAAAGAACCAAATCTTTGAAGAAAAGGAACCAAATCTGTAACGAAAAGGAACCAATTCTGTGGAGAAAAGGAACCAAATCTCTAGAGAAAAGGAACCAATTCTGTAGAGAAAAAGAACCAATTCTGTGGAGAAAAGGAACCAAATCTCTAGAGAAAAGGAATCAAATCTTTGAAGAAAAGGAACCAAATCTGTAACGAAAAGGAACCAAATCTGTAGAGAAAAGGAACCAAATCTTTGGATCAAGTCTGTAGCGAAAGACAACCAAATTTGTAACGAAAACGAACCAAACCAAATCCAAATCTGGTTCCTTTTCGAAATTTTTTGAAACTACTTTAATCTTTCCTACAGAATCTGTCCGTTCTACATAATTTTGTTTTCATTCAATTTAGGCTCGATTTCTCATTGAATGAGGTTAAAATTAATTAAATCGGACAAAAACTAAAGGAAATGGTTTTCGAAAATAGCCATCTTTTAGAGAAAGTTACAGTTATACTACCATTTCTAGTGCTTTAAAAGAAACAACTACTTAACCTGTTGTCTAAGAGGGTACTTTTTGCTCAAAAACCTAAACACACTCTTTCTGGCACACTGAAGACATCATTTTCTAGGAAAATTTTAGGGAGAAAAAGTAGAAAAGAAAGAAAAGATTGATTCAGTCCATTCAGAAAAGGTGTGTTCCCAGTTCTCGACGACAAAGCACATCGCCAACTCTAATTTCCTTTCGAGAACGATTTGCGAGAACGAACCCACCTGCATCAACAATCTCTAATCCATCCCAAACGTGTTTCCCATTTTCCGCTTCTGGCTCAATTCTCTCACACATTTCCAGCATTTTCTCTAGCTCTTCGGCGCACTCGAATGACCGAGAGACGTGCACTTTTCGGAGTTCGTAGAAGAGAGCCAGCTCTTCGTCTAAATTCAATTCTTAGAATTGCTAAGCTTGTGAAGCACAAAATTACCGGAAATACTGTAATAGTACCCCACCCGCATAATGACGGTGCGAAGTGTTGCGTAGTCTAGCTTTGAACGAGTTTTTCTCGACACTGGTTTATGCTACAATGCTCGTTTAGGTATCAAGAAAAGCGAAATCAGGGCATTTTTGATACCAAAGCGCATTTTGGAGTACCAGCGCTTTGAAAAAATGAAAACTAACACGACTTACGACTGCGACTACGCGACTGTACGAGGGGGGTGGGGTACTATTACAGTATTTACGGTAGATATTCATTTGGTTTTTGTTTAGCTTTACCGGTCTCCGAGTGTTTTATCATATCGCTTGCAATGGCCGCGTCAAGCACCTCGGTGACCAAGCGCTCGCAGATCTCGTCCAACCTGAATTTTAGCATTTTGGTGTCTACTAGCTGATGGATGAGAGAATTTTGAGCCAGATTTAATTCCATTTTCGTTTTCTTTATCATTTCTTTATCATTTCTTGGTAGAAATTTTTTTCTACTGCTAGAAATCACTTTTAAACAAAATTTTCAAACAATCAGTTCAACAAAATGACGGCGTAACTCGGTTTGAATCAGATTTTCCTAATTATTCTTAAGTTTTAGAACTTATTTAGGATTTTGTTTAATAATGAACCTTTTTATCTCCTCATCCTCCAGCTCAGTCACCACAATCTGGCTGTAAACCAACTCAAAGATGTCCTCGACCAAGCGTCGACAAAACTCTTCGAAAGTGCTTGGAAGGAGTAGACTCTGAAATGAAATAAGGAGAAATACAGGGTGATCAAGAATTACCGCAACAACGTCGTATTATGTTAATAAACTAAACTTTAAGTAAACTTTAAGGTACTTTAAGGTACTTCAAGGTACTAAAGGGGTATTGTAATGTAAAAAGTAACGAATTCAATACTATAGGGTGACCAAGAATTACCACAACAACGTCATATTATGTTATGAGACCGATTTCCCTTTTTGCTTACCTGTTTTTATGATTTTTGTGTATTTTTCTTATTTTATGGTATGATTACTAACTTTCAATACATTATAATTATAAATACTTGTGTGGTTTTGTTGACATCGGGAAGACCCAATTTGTTCATTTCTATCCCAGTTTATTGTCAGAGTTTATTGTCAGAGTTATTATTTAACTTTAAGGTAAATAAACTAAACTTTAAGTAAACTTTAAGTAAACTTTAAGTAAACTTTAAGTAAACTTTAAGGTACTTCAAGGTACTTCAAGGTACTTCAAGGTACTATAGGGTATTGTAATGTAAAAAGTAACGAATTCAATAAATTGATAATAAATTGTTGTTAACAATAGCTAACAATAGCTAAAAATAGCTCTAACTATTGAAATATTAATAAAACTAATCCCAAAAATCTCCCGTTTGTCCCTTTTTCCACAGCCATTTTTTAGCTCCTTCTTTTTAATTGTTTTTCAAATATCTCCCTATTTTCTCGTTAAAAACTGAAAACAAATAGATATAGAGAAATGATTTAAAGTCATCCTGTAATTAAACAAAATCCTTTACCTGATAATACTTGGACAAAGCGGCGGCAACAATTGAACAAGCGAGATCATCGGCCCACGAGTCGGCCTCCGCCTCAAGCACCATCGGGGATTTGCTCTGCCCCACTGAAATCCTAGTATTACCATCCTTTACACATTTAATGGAATTTCTCTTCTGTTCCACTCAAAATAGTCTCAAGAAGGTACATCTAGCCGAGAAGTACATCTAGCCGAGAAGTACATCTAGCCATGTACACCTTTCAAACCACTAACAATTCATGAAAGCCAACAAGTCGCCATCTTCATCGATTTGCGAGAACCAATGCGTTAGTTGAGCGGTGAGCACGCGGACACGGGAAACGATTTTCGTGGCTGTCGCCGAGGCTTCTAGAATTTCATGGTAAAGGCGTTTTCTTGGCGTTCTAAAACTTGTCAACTTTTGAAAGCTTCCGTTACTTTACCTCCAATCTACTTTTAGCTCTGGTTTTATGAGAATACACGATAGTTAACACTAATAAATTGAAGCTAATAAGTTTCTCAATTTATCTGAAAGTTTAGAGTAAGCAAATTGAACCGAGTTCTAATTGGTGGAGTCAATAAAATAAATAGCTCCATTCCCCAAATGGCAATCAAACTTTGAGCTCAAATTTCTTGGTATTGAGCTATCCAATTTAAATAGTTTTTGTACCAATCGACAGAGAAAGTCTTGGCGCATCTAATGATATTAAGAAAATTAAAATTGAACAGCCCAACACCAAGATATTTGAGCTGTCCAATTTAAATATTCTTGGTATCATTAGATTCGCCAAGACTTTCTCTTGTCGATCGGTACAAAAGTCATTAAAATTGAACAGCTCAACACCAAGATATTTGAGCTTAAAGTTAGATTGCCAATAGCAAAAGGGGCGAAGCTATCAAATGTTCCACAATCGAGTCATTTTTCGACATTTTCCCCGCCTTTGGCGTCACTATGCCCAAATTCTTTGTGATCACTTCTTCTTTATATTTGACTGTTTTTTTTTGCTACAAATTTTGCATCTTTTTAAACTATTGCATCAGCACCAAAATCAGCACCAAAATTGAGCGAACAATGCAATATGATTCTTGATTTTCTTAGAATTTCACAAACCTCTTTCCAAATTCTCCCCAATCGCCACAATCGAATCCGCTCTTTCCGATAGCATTCTCCTCGGCGATATTCGGTGTGACGGACTGGCCGTCTCGCTCATCGAAACTTCCAACGCTAAATGAAAATTTACCAACTTTACTTTGTAAACTTTAAAACATTAGGTTTTCAAACGTAAGCATGTCACTAATACTAGGCCATTTCTCACCTGATTCCTCTACATTCTTTGCTAGAAAAGGAAAGCTTTAGGAAAAGATTTTATTCAACTCACTTTCGGGTAATGAATCCATTTGTACCAAGGGGAAATCACTCATTTCAAAGGAGTCCTCGCGCTCAGGCTGAATAGGAAAATAAGTAAGTTTTTCAAGAAAAATTCTGATTAAACTTTAAAAAACCAGCCTCTCCAGCTTGTTCTTGATCAAAAGAGGCTTTCTCGCGTAGAATTTTGTGTGTGATTCCTTTCCTTGCCAATCGTCGAGTGTCAACGGCGACTCTGGCCTCTTTTCGGGAGGCTTCGGCTCGTTGAAGAACCTAGAAGATCCAAAATTGATTTGAACTAGCTGATCTGGTTGAATTTTTTCTTTGGGCGTACATTGTGCTTTCAGAAAAGCATTTTTCTGGTGTACGGATCTTTTTATTTGATTTACCTGTTCGATTCTCTCTCGTTGTTCACTTGTCAGATCATCTAAAGCATGCTGGAGTGCGCTGGTTGGTGAGATCAATGAAACAGGCTAGAAATTGAAAAATTCATTTTTAAGAACAAATCTTGAACTATAAACTATTGAATAATGAAAATATTGAACTGTAAACTGTTGTAAAATTTGGAAACCTCAGATGGAGGGGATTTTGGTTCAGACGATTCAGGCGACGAGAAGAGACAGACTTCATCGAGGCCCGTTTCTTGTCGAGTCACTTTTCGTCGAATGATATGCCCTAGAAGAATTGGTTTTAATCAATCAAAATGTTTCTTACAATGTTCTTAAACGACTTTTACAGCTGTTGCTACTGCTGTAACTTGTACTTACTCACATAAAGAATAAATATTCCACGATTTTAACCCGCCGGTCCTTTTATTGGTCGGCGCCAAGATTCGAACCTTCGACCTCTCGCTTATCTTCTACCAAAGAGCTACACTAACACGTATTCCATCGCCGCCAAGGCTTTATGCCTTACTCATGTTGATGTAGTGGAATTTTATGCCCTTGTCATAGTCAGGGGTAGTGCTAGTAAAGTTTAGCTAGTTCAAATGGGTTTTGACCTCAAGCTAGATAGTTTTACCTTGTTTTTATGGCACTAAACAGTTTTATAGGACTAGAATCCATACTGTGTATCGCTTTAAATAAATCTCACCTCCTTCAGCTGGTGACATCCATGCCATAAACCCTGCCGGTCTGCTCGTCTCTCCTCTCTCCTCATCTCCTCTACTTGTACTCGCTTCTCCTTCTTCTTCAGCTTTTTTCTCCTCTTCCGGCTCCTCTTTTATCGCTCGTCCACCACTGAAATAAAAATGAGCTTGAAAACGGGAATTGTTGATTGTTTATTTGTAAGTGTTCGAATGGTTGGCTTAGCTTTGGTTCAAAGCTATTGAGTTGGATCATTGATTAATTAGATGGCCGCCATCGCTGACTGGCTAAGAGCCTTGTGGGGAGATCAAGAATCTCGTGGGGAGATCAAGGATTCAATCCCGGCAGCTAGATTATTAATACTTTCTTCTCATATATATGGGGTTTTTTCTTCCCTACATTTAGAAGTTGAATTCTAGCGTTTATTCTTGTGTATTGTTTGTACCAAATTCGTGTGAATAAATGTATTTTAAAAGAATCAATTCAAATCTATCAATAGTCTATATCAAGATTAATCAACTGAATCCTAGTCAACTAAGCAACAAAAAAGGATTTGGTGAACTTACAAATAATACGAAAACCAGGAAGACATTGCGGGTGGACGCTATCTCATTTTTGTTCGTGGATTTCTGAAAGAGTTAATAGATTTTCACATCTTGTTAATCAAGAAAAATGACAATATTTGAACAATCAAGGCTCAAATCAAGGATCAAACATAAAAAAGAATAGACAGGAGTGCTTATAAGTTGAAAATTGGAAATTAAACAATGAAAGAAATCGGATTTTCAATGTTCCTGGTGTCTCTGACCTTTGTGAGTTGTTTTTTTGCTAATAAAGTAAAGTAAAGAATGGTAAAGAAAGTGGATTGAACCCTGGACCTTTTTGGCTTTCCAGAAAGCTCTAGCCACTGAGCTATCTGATATATTCTTGCCAGAGAAGAAAAAGGAAGAAATAAGAAGAAAAAAGAAATAAGGCTACTAGTTAGTTATCTCATAGTCGTAGTAGTTGGATTACTTCTAGTTGGATTACCAAGTAGTAGTTGGATTACTTCTTTACTTCTTTACTACTAGATTACTTCTAGTTGAAATTATCAAGTAGTTACGTAGTAGTTGGATTACTTCTAGTTGGATTACCAAGTAGTTACTTAGCAGTTGGATTACCAAGTAGTTACTTAGCAGTTGGATTACCAAGTAGTTACGTAGTAGTTGGATTACCAAGTAGTAGTTGGATTATTTCTTTACTTCTTTACTACTAGATTACTTCTAGTTGGAATTACCAAGTAGTAATCCTTTTCCTGACTTCTAAATCTTTTTCCTGACAATAAGTTAATCTACAAATTCATCTTTGTTATTTCATTGAATTCTTCTCCTAGTTTTGGCATGGTTTTGCATAGATTTAAGCTAAAATAGATGAATATAAACCTAATAGCGTCATTTCTGGCCATTTCCCCCAATTTCGTTTACTCAATTAGAGACATGCTGACGAAAGTTATATCCTATTCTGGTTGGCGGGGGAAGAAAAGCAAAAGTACCAATTGAATAATCAAGTAAAATAATCAAATATCATAAAGTCCGTTAACGAAAAACTGTCTAGAGACTTCAAAAAATATCTGTCTCTATTTCCAGAAAACCGTTTAAACAAATGTCGAGACGAGGAGGCAAAAAAAGCTGAAAAACACGAAAGCAATCTTTGGCAACTAATGGCCTTTCCCATGGACACCCACTTGGATGAGAAAAGAAAGGAAAGCTCATATTGGGAAGAGAATTTACAGAGATTTTCGATTCAAGATACGCATTGAAAAGGAAAGAAACAAGAAAGGAATCATATGCAAATGGGGAAGAGAGTGCAAATATGCGAAACGGAAAGAGTAGCCAAATATAGAGTCAAATAGAGTCAAATATAGAGTCTAAAATGGTCAACCTTGAAAACTATCGTAATCTTGTCTTTAAACTTTAGTAATCTAAAGATTTCTGCATTTGGTATGTTTCTGAAGGTATGATGCATATCGAAAGTCATAGGTAAAGCTGTAAAGTAAAGAAGTAGGTAAAGAAGTAAGTAAAGAAGTAAGTAAAGAAGTAGGTAAAGAAGTAAGTAAAGAAGTAAGTAAAGAAGTAGGTAAAGAAGTAGATAAAGAAGTAGATAAAGAAGTGAGTAAAGAAGTAGGTAAAGAAGTAAGTAAAGAAGTAGGTAAAGAAGTAAGTAAAGAAGTAAGTAAAGCAAAGCAAAGCAAAAGTAAATAAATGTAAAGTAAAGTAAAAGTAAAAAAAAGTGAAGGAATTGACAAGAAAAAGTAGATTTCATAATTCAAGACTTTTCGCAAATGGGCAATATTAAAAGAAGAATCGAAATGAATCTCTTGAATTGTAAAAATTAGATTTTAATTCGTTTTTGATAAAATTTACAAACAGATTATTAATCGATAAATTGAGCAAGACAGAAGACAAAGAGAAAGCAAGACAGAAGAACAGAAGACAAAGCAAGACAGAAGACAAAGCAATACAAAAGACAAAGCAAGACAGAAGACAAAGACAAAGCCAGACAGCAAAACACGAGCAAATAAACTAATGTTAAACAAGATAAAAACGAAGATTTAATTAATATAAGCAATAAAAGTTTTGGGAAAATTTTCAGAAGAACTCACTTCTCTGCAATTTGAGAAATGGTGAGAATGAATAAGAGAAGAGAGAGGACGTCATGAAAATTTCATTTCAACATCAATACCTGAAAGAAGAAGGAAATTTTGCAAGTAATGCATAGTAAGAATAAAAAGAGAATTGCTAAAGATTTTGGAAAGATTATCCTGATATACCGTATTTTCTCTAATAGTAGTGCACCCTGAGAGTTGCCTAAATTGCTCGAAATATCGAGAACCGCTTATCAGAACCTAGCGATGTGGGGTCGGAAAATGTAGCTGATGATATCAATAATTTATCAGGTATTAAAAGATACTATCAATTTGTTCGTCTAGTTTCTAACTAGTGCCACTCTAAAGGCTAATGCGTTCTCTAAAGTTTGCCAACTTTCAATGACTAGTGATCTTTACATCTAGCTTTATCTAGTTTACCGTATTCTCTCTAATAGTAGTGCACCCTGAGAGTTGCCTAAATTCCTCGAAATCTCGAGAACCACTTATCAGAACCTATCGATGTGGGGTCGGAAAATGTAGCTGACGATGAGATCTAATGGGGGGATTTGAGTGTTGAGCTTCTGAGAAAACTTGGAAACCGTAAAATAGTCGCCAACTCGGCTCGGCACTACTATTAGAGAAAATACGATAGACAAATTTGATGCGTTTACTTGGAACAGACTAGTTAGGAGAGAAGGATATTGTGACTGAACCCTTGAATACAGCTGATTTGATGTCACGGAAAAAAAATGGGTGCTGTATTTTCCCTAATAGTAGTGCACCATGAGCGTCGCCTAAATTGCTCGAAATCTCGAGAACTGCTTATCAGAACCTATCGATGTGGGGCCGGAAAATGTAACTGACGATGAGATCTTTTGGGGGATTAGAGTGTTGAGCTTCTGCAAAAGCTTGGAAACTGCAAAATAGTCATCAACTCGGCTCGCCAGGGTGCACTACTATTAGAGAAAATACGGTAATTACGGCAAAGGCAAAGATGCAAAGGCGTTCGAATTCAAAGTGAAACGTGATTTGGAAAGAGAAATCTAAATAAAGAAAGAAAAGGTAGAAATTTTAAAATGGTAAGAAAAAGGTTAAAAGATTGAGTAAACATAAAGAAATAGTGGAAATAAGTTTAAAAGGGAGATGAAAAGCCGACCGGAAGGGAATTGAAAGAAAAAGAAAAAGAAATAGGGAAACTTTGATTGAACTAGCTGAAGGGATGGTTGATAGTAAGAAAATATGAAAATTCAGCGCTTTAAAGTAATTTGAAAGTAATTTGAAAGCAATTTGATGGCATTGAACATTACAATGCATGTTTAATGTTATAACAAATAGATTTTTTTGGTTATAACAAATAGAAAGAAGTTTATGAGAAGTTGTCGAAATTTGATGCACTTTATTGGTTGGTTTGTATTAGGTGTGTGAAAAAATAATCCACGTTTTTTATTTTTATCTGATGACCAAATAAGACGCTGTCTTCTCGAAAACCCTCGTTCAACCTCTTCAGAAATAGGCTTTACATTAAATTGTGATATAACAACCGCAAGGAAACGCTTGAATGCCATGAATTTTATCAAAAAGTTGGACAAATGGATACCGCATGAACGATAACGCGCGACCACATGTCTCTTTACGGACTCGACAAAAAATCCAGAGTGTTGGATGGGAGGTTTTACCACATCCACCTTATAGTCCAGACCTTTCTCCATCTGATTATTATTTATTTTTGTCTCTGTCTAACTTTTTGGCCAATAAACGGTTCAATTCCGAAGAAGATGTCAAAACCGAGGTTGATCTTTTCTTCGCCTCTACGGACCAAGATTTTTCTTATCGTGGAATGTCTTTACTTGTAGAACGTTGGCAAAAGGTTCTTCTTTCGAATGGTGATTACTTCGTTGAATAAAAATTATTTTAACGAAACTTATGGTCTTTTATATTTAAACGTTAAAAACGTGGATTACTTTTTCACACACCTAATAGATTAAAGCCGACGAAACAACTCTAATTAAATTAAAGAGCAAAAAAATGAAGAAGAAAGTATGATGAAAGATCTGAAATATGGAAGATATGGAAGTAAAAGATATGAAAAAGATATGAAAAAGATATAAAAAAGATAATAGCTAAGATAAAGATAAAGATATAAAGATATGAAAAAGATAATTGGAAAATAGCTTTAATCCAGAACAAACACTAAATCCCAAAGGTGATGATGAAGAGAAGAGAAATGAAAATTGAAAACGCTGAAAGCTGAAAGCTTTAGAAATATTTTAGATTTTATTAAAATATGAAATATTTCTCTAAAAGATTATCAATGAGCTTTTAAAAAGGCAGTTTTTAGCTGAAATTTTATTGTAAATGAACAAGATAAAGGCGAAAACGAATAGTAATGAATTTAGAATACTTCTCCAT